AAAAATTTAATTATGGTACCGAACCGAACGGAACCGAACAGACTCGAACCGAACCCGAACGATTATATATTTATATTTGGACCCGACGGGTCCATTTATTTAATACCCGAAAGTTTTGGGTCGATTCGGGTCTCTTTAGAACCGAACCGACCAACGGACAGCCCTAGTGTTAATTGCGGTCATATATTCCAACTTGATCCGATAGTCAAATTACGAAAATAAATCAATTTGTTGTACTCGCCGAGTAGATCGTCGCATTATATTTGGAATCTAAAAATCAATTCCAGATAAAATGAGAAATTGTGGTTTAAAGTTTGAAAAAAAAAAAAATCGAAATCCAGCATGTAAGGCCGCCGCTTGAATGGTATGCCAACGCCAAGCGAGTGATAGCTCACTGCATTGTGCCGCTCGAGCTCCACATGGGCGGTAGACGAGGGGTGGAACGATTGCATCCCTTCATGAAAAATGTTGAGTTTTGAGACATGACTCTCCCATCACACCCCTTCACTTTTTATATAAAGGACACCTAGGGCATCTACTATTCATTCCATTCCATTTTTACACTTTGGTTTTGCTTTAAAACATTTTGTAGAAGTGATTCATTTTCGTATCAAAGCCACGATTATGGGAGAGATGAAATTTCGTTCGAGTTCGCTTCTTTAAGTTATTTGGAGTGCTCATATGACTAGACGTGGTCGTTGTATCTTCAGAAATAATCGTCAAAAAAAATTTATCTTCAGGAAAGAGTGTTTAACTTGCCTCGACCAATCTTTAACTTGCATCTCCTCTTTCTTCTATCTAATTTCTTTATATTGTATTTGATTTCAAAAATACTAATTTTCTTATTGTTATATGAAAGGTTTTAAATTGAAGAATGAAATGACATTCATCGAAGTAATGAAAGACACAAATTCATCTACATGTATATACTCAATTTTGTAAGTCGTTTCTATATTTAATTTCATGCTTATATAGAAGATATGTTGAATAATATATATTCTCATATTATTGGTAATGTGTTTAAGCATGTACATGCACATCTAGTCGGTGTAAAATCTCCAATAGATCTCCATTATAAACTCATTTTGAGTCGTATATTTTGTTTTAAAATTTAAATAATCTTTAAAACATAAAATAAATGGAGTGGAAAATAAAGATTTTTTTTTTTAATTCTTGACCCCTACCGGACGGGGGATGAGAAGTGCCATCCCTACCCGCCCTACCTTATTGTCATCCTTACTATAATGAGTTAATTTGATGTAAAGACACCATCTTTATGGACTATGGTAAAAAAATGGTAATAGTAGGAGAGGAATCGATATATAAAACGTTGAATATGAAGCATGTTTGGGTGTTGTTTATAGATGACTTAAATTATAATTAAAATATAAATGAGTGGTAAACTAATGAATAGTACCTGCGAATCTCAAGAAACATGTATGTAATAATTATTTGACTGATTATAAATAATTTACGAACAATAGCCAAACTAGGGCTAAATAATAAATGGGCTAGCTTGCTCTGATTCGGACTCCAACAAAATCATGGTGCTTTGTTATCGATAGTTTATGAGAAAAATGTTTGAAATGTTCGAGAAAAAAGTACTTCTTTGCAACTCCAAGTCTCAACGAGGAACGATTTAAAAAAAAAAAAAAATCACCCGAAGAAACCCTATCCTTGTATAGATACATCGTAGAATAATACCCCACCAATAACAATACACGTACAATAATATTAGGTACCAGAATACATAGACAACGCACATGCAGAATACTAATTTCATGGCTGCGCCGCCTAAGCACGGCAGCGCCACCTCTATTTCGACAAACTTGGTCCCCAAAACAGCCAATGGTGGATTTTGGCTTTGATAGTCTTTTCCCTGATTGTTTCCAAGCTTGGCTTCCAACCTTTCCCTGATAATTGCCTACTCAAAAATTCAGGCCTTCCCTCTAAAATATCACTGAAATAATCTGATTTTGATTGCTCCTCCTCTTTTCTTTCCACCAAAGACTTCTTCTTTGTATTCGTGAAAACGTCGTCGTGCTCCACGCCGCCACCAGCCGGGCAAATTCTGACAAACAAAGGGAGAAACACTGATGAAGAGAAAAGGGACTTAGATTTCAGAAATGAATTTGCATTTTCCAAAACCCTACGGGCTTCTTCAGAAGACAGCGCCACAGGTTTGCCCCTCTTGATCGGAAGCATTATATAAACGTTTTTCGTCTCGAGTTTCTTGTCGGCCGGCAATGGCGTCAGCTTTTTTCCATTCATCACCGGCTGAAATTCAACCACCACCTGTTGTGGATGCTCCAGCATGAGCTCTGCAACTGTTATAGGTTCGTCGTACTTGTAAACCTCACCGGTCGACAGAATGACTTTTCCAGTGGCATTCGACAACTTTTTTGGGATAGAATTTCCCATTGGAGAGAGATTGAGAGAATGTAGTTTGTTCAAGTTGAGTAAACGCGTGCATTTTAAGTTGCATTATATATTAGATTAGAGTTGTGAAATAAGGTGTTGGTTAAACGACTCCATCTTGGGATGGACACAAATGGTGGACTTGGTAATAACTAATGAGAATGTCAAATGAGATCATGGTTGATTCTTGATTTTGTATTTGTATATTTAAAAAATATTTTATGAAATTCAGTACTGCTCTCGACAACGTCATTAGTTTACTAGGCCACTGTTTGATTTAGCTAAAAAGTTGATAAAAATTTAAGTCAAATATAACAATTAATTTTAACCATACATTTTATGAAATCCTAAACTTTTATCAAATTTTCAACCACACATTTCATCAGTTATCATCAAAACCTGTTAAAAATCCAATGTTTAACAAAACCAAATAAGGGCTAGATATTGTTGTCGTATGTTGTCATGAAAATTAGAAAAATGAAGATCGATGAAACTATTAAGTCTAAAATTCTTTTACTCTCTATAAAGTTGATTTTCTATGATCATTCCACAGTCGGCTCCTACGGTAAGAAATCATATTCTGTTTGTTTTTTTAATTGAATGTGGAGACAATTTAAATGGAGGATAGAGTACTAAGTCGTACCAACTAAGAAGAGTGAAGTCAATGGAAGAGGAACCGTTCAACCGTATTAGATTTATACTATAATAATTATCTCATTGTTGTATATTAGTTGCATTCAGTGAAGGTACAATAAAGTTAAGTTGGACAGTCCAACTATAACTTCCCCTATAAAGGCTACACTTTATTTCGATAGAACAACTTTTTATTTATAAACAGGATTTTTGGTATAACACTAGGTGTGAGCAACGTGTAATGCACGTTTGCTTAGTTCATATTTAATAGTTTTGTTTAAGAATTAATTTGTTATTAATAAAGATGTAATTTTTTTGGTTAATTAAATAATTAATGATGTAATATTTATGTAATTGATAAATAATTTGATGTGTGATTTTGATGTAAGTTGGTGAGATCGAAGAAAATAAGCAAAAGTTGACAAATTTGGAGAA